TGGGGGGGGGGGGGGTTGCGGTGGGCGAGGTGGTGGGGTCCGTGTGGGATTTGGCGATGCGACTGCGCGTGTTCTTACAGCGCCTCCTCGAATGTGATTCGAGCCGCACCGAGAATTTGAAAGGTGTCCCCTCCCGGAGAAAAAGGAAGATCCGCCAACTGCTCAGCAGATGTTGCGAGCAATTTCTCCCCCCCACCCCATTTCCACCGCACCTCCCTCCCCACCCATCCCCCGCTCCATCAAAAGCTAAAGCTGGCGCAGGACTGCGCAAGGCATGCGTGTAATAATTATTAGCACCTTGGTTAGTGTTACGTGATTAATTCCATAATCGGCGCAGCCCAGCGCGTCGGTAGCAGCAGCAGCCCCTGCGAAGTGCAATGCAGGCGGAGGGAGGCTCTGCGAGTGCGCACGGGGAAAGGCCGAGCGTGTTTCACGAACGTGTGAAGCCTGCCGGTATATTTGCACAAAGTTTATTGTCGGTATGCGTGGTAGTAAATATTAATATTCGGCTAATTTGATGGCTCAATTGGTTAATGGCTAAAGTCACTCGGCGTCTTAAAACGCGCGCGTGGTGACGCTGGGACCAATCGCCCCCGCTCACCCCCCTCCCGCCACCGTGTTAGCGAGTAGGATTATAGCCCTCCAAATGTCCGACGTTTTACACCACGTGTTGAGGGCTTTTCAGGAACTTAAACGAGTCATGTTGTTGATGAACTAGTCGATGTGTGTGTTGCATTTGGTGGGGTAAAGCGTGGGTACTCCCTCCTCCTCCAAAACGTTTGGCCAGCATGGAAGAGCAGGCCAAGTACACTTTAGAGGGAACATTAGAGGTCCAATCGCCTATAGGGTGGCGTGGCAGAGAGTAGGTGGCAGTGAGTGGATCAGTGTGGCCTGAGTTGTAGCGTAGCCCAGGGCTTAATCTAAGACTTCCATTGAGACCCATAAACTTACATTGAGACCCATAGACTTACATAGACACACAACTACTCAAATTGATTGAGATCCGTAGACTTATATAGAGACCCATAACCCTACATTGAGACCCATTGACTTAACATAGACACTCATAGATTGACACAGGGATCCATTTCAGTCACGTTTATCGGGCCACCGCCCCATATTGACTCTCCTTGGTCACGTGCCACATACTCCAGTCTTACCAGCGACGAGAAAAATGTCTCCGAACTCGGCACACCAAATCCACTGTAGTCACGTGTGCCCACCTCGATTCTTGCCAGCAAGCCAGAACATCTTCAGCGAAAAAAGTAAGCTCTGGACAAAACGGTCACAAGAGGTGAACAAGAGCGGCACGTGGAGGCTGTGTGTAGGGGCTGTGGAGGTTGTGCGTTGAAGGCTGTGTGGGGGGAGGCTGTGTGGAGGTTGTGTGTGGAGGCTGTGTGGGGGGAGGCTGTGTGGAGGTTGTGTGTGGAGGCTGTGTGGAGGCTGAGGTTGTGCTTGGAGGCTGTGTGGACGCTGTGTGGAGGCCGAGGCTGTGTGTGGAGGCTGAGGTTGTGTGTGGAGGCTGAGGTTGTGCGTTGAAGGCTGTGTGGGGGGAGGCTGTGTGGAGGTTGTGTGTGGAGGCTATGTAGACGCTGTGTGGAGGCCGAGGCTGTGTGGGGAGGCTGTGTGGAGGCTGTGTGGAGGCCGAGGCTGTGCTTGGAGGTTGTGTTTCAGTGGCACACTACGCTATCTCAGCCCACATCACTTAGCGGATAATAACAAGAGAGTGCGCAGCGTCCCTGGGGGATTGTGTATGCATTTTTGAGCGTTATCTCCTTGTACGTGTGGGTTTTATCCAGTGGCTATGGTTTTCTTTCTATAAAAAGTGCGTGTATATATAATACACAAAGCTAAAGATCCCCCGCGGAGCCATCAATAGACTTTTGGGGAAAGTGCCATTAGCGAGTAGCACCTATGAAGGCCGGCCCGGAACACGAGGGGGTGAGTGGACAGCACCACGCCCGGTCTCCTTGGTCTCCTGAGTGGCGATGTTTACACAATGCACCAGGTATTTATTTCAGGCTGAGTCGACTTAGAGGAGGCCCCGGATCTAGTATAGATATTTGTCACCGATGTTGGTCCATGGGTGTGCGAATTGAACTTGGGATGCCGGGTTCGCAGGGCAGTGTGCTAACTACTGCGCCTCTCCTCCCACATATATATACACACGTGGGGAGCGGTAGTGTAGTGGTCTAGGGAGTTTCGCTACGAACCCGGCCACCCGAATTCCACTCCCGCTCACGGCCAACACCAGTGACGATTATCTGAACCAGTCCTGGGCCTCCACTTGGTCGACTGAGCTACAAACGAGTACCTGGTGCAGTGTGTACACATCAGCGCTAAGGAGACAGGGCGTGGTTTGTGGAGGATGGCCCGGGCTGTCGGCTTCCAGAGGAGGGTGTTTTGTGGCCTGCTTCTTCACACCGGTCAGACGTCTCCGCAGAGGTGGCAGTACCCACACTCAACCCCACTACGCTCGACCTGCCGCTTGATCGACTTCAACCGCTGTTGTATATCTAAATGTTGGTGCTGCTGCTTGGTGCACAGATCCCAGGGGAACCGTTGTTTCAACCGCCGCGTCAGCAGAGTGCATCTTACCGGCGACCTCTGGATCGCAAACCTACTGATTCGCTCACCTTCGCCACACCGGTGTGGCAGCGTCGGGCTCTTGTAAACGATCAAATCGCGAGGATTATCATCATCATCAAGTTTACATTTTGTCTTGATCATGCAAGATTCACCCATGCGTTTTCCATCTGCATCACCTTTCTGTGCGTCCTTCCCCCCCCCCTCGCTCTCTCCTTCCCTCCCCCCCAACACTCTCCCCCCACACCCCTCCCCCTGCCCCCCACCCCCTACCACCCCCATCTACCCCCCCAAAACCCACCCCCTCCCATTTCCCGGTTAACAGATGGGCTGGGAATAGACATTCTCTCTGTTTGTAAGGAACAGATGGCCAGGGACTGGCTCAGAGTGCTGGATTTTTTTTCTGCGTGTGTTTTTTTCCCTTTTTCCCTCTCTCCGTGAGATGTGAACGCAGCAGCAGTGAGCCGCTTTAAAATATACGGCTTCGTCCACTGATCTCTGCTGGAATTACACGAAATAAAGTCGCTCAAAGAGAGAACGAGAGAGAGAGCTTTCATATCCGCGCGTACAGAACGCGGAACAACGTAAGACAATGATTATTCCGCTCGTGTGGCGTATGCCCATCGAGGGGCATTGGTGCTCATCTCCTGCTCATGGCTCTGCTGAGCCAGTGCTGTAAATTCCACGTTCCTATGGCGGGGCGGGGAGGGGTGCGGTGAAATTATATGCCTCTGTTGGCTTCGCCCGCAAAGTGGTTGTTGTTGTAGCCTGCCCCCCGGTGGGGAGTTGAACTCGCAACCTTCCGCTTGTGAGCTCCTCTCGCTGAGCCACCTGGCTGTATAGTGTGAGCCACTCTACGATATACGCGTGACGAAAACAAATACACTCGGCACATTTCGTAAAATAACACCGTGGCCTTACAAGGAAGAGTACGTGAGAGGCGACGTATCGGTGGGGGCAGGGGGGCGGTGGCCAAAAGCACGTCAAGTAATCCGTTTTATTCACGCGGACATAAAATAATGAGAGCATGTGGTCATTCCAGCCGCACTTAAGCCACCAAACGATGTAGGTCTCCCTACACCGTGTCAGTTACGTCGCTATTTTCTTTTCCCATACTTCACGCCGGTCAGTGAAGGGGGCGGTCGGTGGGTCGGGATTGGGGGTTGAAGGGGATGGGGGGGAGATGGGGGGTGGGAGATTGCCCGGTTCTGACATCACTCGCCGACTGACAGCTGCCATCATCGGGAATCAAACTCGGGTGGCCGGGATGGCGACGAAGAGCCCAAACGTGCGCCGCGCTCGCGAGAGCCCCTTGGTTTAAACGGCGCCGTCGCATTTCAGCCGCTCGTTGCCACAACAACAGCAAAAAAAAGGCCGCATTTCACTTGCAATAGTTGTGTTATCTTTCGATTTAAAGCTTTCGTGACTGCAGGGATTCATCTTCTTGGTTCTTTCGGTAAAGTCATGTAGAAGGGAAGTAATAAAATAATAAAAATAAAACATAATAAAATCAAATAATTCTCACGACGTTTCGGCTACAACGCAAGCAGCCGTCTTCAGGTGAAGAATGAGACACTGCCAAGCTAGGAGCTTATATATATGCTGAGTTGGAGGTGGAAGAAGAAGAGAGCCTTAACAAAAGAATGTGCATATCAAGAGGAGTTGTGTTATCGTCCAGGATTGTTGTCTCACGCAAGGTGGTGCACCGCTCGCCTGTTACCGTGAAGGTTCTCAATTGAAATGTGCTGCCGCTAGACGTGACAATGGCACAGCGATAAACTGTCGTGTTGTATGTATATATGTTTACACAGTATAGCTTGACAATGCTTCTGTGTGTGCAGTGGCACACTAGCACTATTAACAGGAACAAAAAACATTTGTTGACAACACTGGCCAGCTCTTAGAAGCTGGCTACACATAGATGAGCTCTCTGTGGAGCTTCCCATGTTATAATATCGATATAATAATAATGTTGAGTTTTACACACAGCGTCATCGTTCATGCAAATTGCATCTCTCAGTCGCCGAGGAACCACAACCAAGCCCGAAGACAGCGTCCAGGCAGTGAGCCGGCGCTACCAACGTTCACCCGAGCTCTGCAATCCTCTGCATAGCAAGATGTTTTCAGGCAATCAATGAGTGTTTGCGTGCGTGATGAAACCCAGGGTGTTCTGTAAGAGGCCGCTCCCAGCAGCAGCGGCGTGAACCAGCGATTGCTCCTTTACCTTTACCCCCTTGTGGCGGCAGTTGGGGGCGTGGGATTTAAGAAACTCACCCCCCCCCCCCCCCCCGTCGTTTCGAATGCCGTGCCGGGGGATTTAATTGAACCGACGAACCCCCCCCCGTTTTGGATCGCAAGTCATTAATCACGGTCGTCTTTGTTTCCTTGTCTTTGTTTTTTTGTCGCTTTTGCAGAATCGAGGATGTCCTTCAAAAACCCGGGACTCTACTGACCGGGCGTCAAGGTGGCAACGAATTGGGTTGAGGGGGTTGTGGGGAGGGTGGGGGGTTGGGGGGCAGGGCAGGGTTGGGGCGGGGGGTGGATGGCGTTTGGACTAAAACGAGCGGACGGAGTTGTCAAGGGTCACGCAGCCAAGTGGTCAGTGGCGATCACAGCCCAGGGGCCCCTGTGGGGGTGAGGTGGGGCGGGGGGGGGCTGGGGCGGGTGGGGGGGGGGGGGCATGTCCGGGGGTCGAGCCCCCCGTGAACCCAGGGGGGGGGGTCCGGAGGCTGCCCCGACTCTTCCCGAGCGATTTCCTGTTTGTGCCCCGGCGTGCGGGGGGGGGGGGGGGGGGGGGGGGGGGGACCCGTGCTTCGTGCCCGTTGCTGCGGCTGCCCCCCGCGTGTGTTTGCGGGTCGAGAGGGCCACCGGACGTCCGACGGTTCACTCCACGTGCCGGGAGCTTCCTCCTTCTCCTCCTCGTCGTCCTCTACTTTTTCTGCAGCTGAATTCTCCAGGAACCCGAAAACACATCGGGAGCTGCTCGCAAGCGGCTCGTAAAAAATAGGGGGGGTGGCGGGGGCTGGCTGAGAATTTGTTGACACTGAATCCCGGTGTCTGCGGGAGTGAATCTGCATGTCCCGTCTTTACTTGTGGTTGCTGAACATGAACGTGTGTTTGGGGCGTGGGGGGGCGGCCCTAAGATGCTGCAGCGGCTGGCGGTTTTTTTTGGGGGGGGGGGGGGCGTGAGGAGGTCAGGGTTATGATCCACCACCCCTCCCCCCCCTCCCACTTGGATATTGATTGCGGTTGTAAAATATAAAACGGAGTGTGCCCCTCTCATACTCCCCCCCCGCCCACCCCTCCCCCCTCTTCTCCCACCACCCCAACAACACGTCCATACACATTCCCTCCTATTCCTTACCCACCCCCCCCTACCCCCCTACCCCCCTTCCTACCCCCCCTCCCCAAAAGATAGATTAATGCAAGGGCACTTTGCGATGGTGCGAACACAAAATTCAATAGAGAGCACTGCCCTACAGCCAGCCATGCTCGGGAGTATAACACACACAAAAATACGAGATGCACCTTTTTACAAACTTAGTTTTTTCTTGTGTAATTTATGATTTTATATACTTGTTTTCAAACAGTGCACAAATCCTCTCTCCCGTGAGTGTCGCCTGTGTCGGGGTTCACCGGCGGTGGCGGTGGTGTGTTTTGCGGGAAGCTCCCTCGTTCAGGGGGAACCCTACTGATTTATTCTACAGATCTCGCATTCCCTTCCCGTGGTGGGCGGCGGTGGCGCGGGTGGGTGGGGGGAGGTTGGCGCTCTTGGTGGTGGCGCTGGAGGTGGCGCACCGCTGACCCACACGCACACACGCACGGACGGGCGCGACGCCACTTGACTATGTAATTACGAAATGGGAGTTGAGGACGCAGTTGCTCATGCCAACGGTTAATTGTCGCCAGAGTTAGCTCTTATAAGATCCATTGTACAGTAACGAATCTGCAGTCATTTTTAACGCGAGCGCAAAAAAAAAAAGATTGAAGAACGCGCGCGCGCGTACACACACACGTGAACAATACTTGCTGTAAAATATTAACACTGTTGTCTTACTTCGGGCCCCGTGAAACGACCGGGGTTTCCTGTAACACTTTCATAAATGATGGCACCCATCCTGTAACTTCCAACTTTTATGTGACCGTTGTTTTTTTTTGTAAAAATCAAAAAGCTGAAAGAAAAAAAAACGTAAGAAAAATATTAAACTTCACGTCCGGATCTTTTTGTGTTCTCTCCAATCGTCACGCACACGCTCGCGTAACGCGCACACTCGCGTAACGCGCACACGCGTGTAATACGCACATGTGCGGCGCACTCGTCGAGGTGAAAACGACGGGGAGGGTGGCCGCCGCTGCCTCGGAGACATCACGAAGCTGGGCTGGAGCCCTCTGAGATCCTGGGTTCGAATCCAGGCACCAGTTGCCCCCGAGATTAAACCGCGTCTTCCCAAGTGTCGTGAGTTGATAGCTTCGGCATGGTCACTGATGACCAAGCGAACCGTCAGATTGTTAAATGTTATTCTGTACTGAATTCGTAAAATTTACAGCTCCTGAACATGAAAATATTGAAGTCGCTTTCATGTGGCGAACGTTACTCTCACATGGCCGAGTGTGGTAGGGAAAAAAGCCCTTGATTGTGTGGACCAGAGGTTACGTGATGGGATCTCAGAGGTAGCTCTGCAATATCCACTTCCGTGGGGCCGTGATGACGGGAAGCGTCGCGCGTCTGCGAGAAATCTCAACGTATTGTTCCGTCTCGTGACGATGCGACGCTTATTTAGTGTGATTGGGGTGACCGTTTTGGGGAAAAATAATTATAAAAAAAAACTAAGTGAGTTGAAACGACGAGTGAGCGAAGATGAACCGGAGACTGGGGTTGAGAAATCGCATCGTGGTATTTTGTTGGACGAACCGGTGACGCAATGGGAAATGAAACTGAGGCAGCTGTAATAAAGCCCTCTCGGTTTAAACCCAGGCTGTCATGGGATTTCAACTTGGATCACAAAGGAGTTTAAACTCGGGACTAATGGGGAATTGACCTCAAACCATCATGCGATTTGAACCCACATTATTGAGGGATTTGAAGGCCAGGCTAATGGGATTTAAGCGCCAATTACCGTGGGATTTAAACGGAGGGTTTAATGGGATTTTAACTCGAAACCACTGGGATTTGACCGCAGCAATACTGCGGTATTTAAAACCGGACTCCCATGGGCTATGACCTCATACAGTCATGTGATTCAAACTGACACTATAATGGTGTTTGAACTCAGACTTGCATTGTGCGTCGATTCCGTAGTCATGGCTAAGCCATCAGTGGGCCGTTGTTTCGAATGCCCCTGCAGGTGTTGTGATCCTGCACCCGTCGCAATGCCTCCTGCATTGGCTTCACGTCTGCATTGAGCGCGATGAACAATGAATCCCCATCATCGGGAATGTCAAAACTCAAACTGAGGACCACACCCAACCTGAATTCGAACAAATCAGGGATTAATTTTCTCACCATTTCCCGGGTTCCCTCGTAGACTGGAGTAGCTGGCGCGTGGCTTTAGTGGCAACCACGGGCAACAATGAGGTATACTGGATGTGGTGTGCCGGGCGCCACTCCCTTGGTCAATCCACTGCTGGACAAAGGCATCCCGAAGCAGTTGCCATCTCACGATCCTGCGACGCATCGATCCACGTAGCACCCACACACGAGCTTATTGGGTTCCTCCGGTTTGAATAAATATCCTGATTGTGATCTAATTGCTTCGTCTCCTCGATGCGCGTCCTCCTGGGAACGTTTCCCTCCTTTGGCTGCCATCATAATTATCGACCATCGTCCCCGACGCATCCCTGCCCAAGCCCGATTTTCATCGCAGGTCGGAGGATGTCATTGGCACTGCGTGCGTTCTCTAATCCAAGTGCTCCTCTTGCCCTCTGCCAACTGCATTGCGGATGGTCGTGCCGCTTCGAGGCAAGGTTCACCAGCGCTGCCGTGAGTGATTGGCCACGATTTTGGAACGTGTGTGGCCGTTACTCCGGCCTCCAGCGAGAAGGCAACAAGCCGAAATGACTGCGCGGGTCCTGTAGCATATTATAAAGGGGCCCTAAATTAAACATTAAAGCACACATTTTTTTACTTGCATAGTAAAGTTATTGTATTTTTTTCATTTTTCATACAGCCGGGTAATGCGACAAATCTCTAACCTTAAACAGCCAGTCGTTCATAAAAGTTGAAGGCGGTATAGTGCTATTGTAATAGAGCAAGTGCAGAATCACTGAACCGAAATTGATAGCTTGAAAGCATTTAGCGCGGGGCCCTTGAAAGTGCGGGGCCCGTAGCTACTACATATGTAATAGTAGCTACTACATATGTAGTAGTAGCTACTATTACATATGTAGCTACTTTTGCTACGAGGATAATCCGCCACTGCATAGTCCCCTGTTTTAAAAAGCTTAAACGTCACGATTTAAAGCTTTCGTGACTGCAGGGATTCATCTTCTTGGTTCTTTCGATGAAGTCACGTAGAAGTGAAATAATAAAATAATAAAAAATTCAGACGCTGTCTTTCCGACAGACCTGTTCTTCACCTGAGGACGGCTGCTTGCGTTGTGGCCGAAACGTCGTGAGAATTGTATTTTATTGTTTTATTTTTATTATTTTATTATTTCCCTTCTACGTGACTTTACCGAAAGAACCAAGAAAACTTAAACGTCACGTTGCGAACCGTCCACACGCCCCAGGGATGTTTCTCGACCCGCCTCTAGTTGTAAGTATGTTGAACTTATTTCCTACCGGACGTAGCCAACTGTGCTAATCGGAGTCTGTCCAGTGACCCCTTCCTTGTCCAGCAAAGCCCTACCGTACGACACTTCACGTCACAGCCTCAGAATAAGTGTACCTAGCCTGGCACAACCGCTGTGTCGAAGTCACTGTCACTCAGGTGGCGAATGGGCGGTTACCGTTACACGTCACGAATCCGTCCTCAAAATCATCACCATCGCTGCGCAACCAATAATGAATCGGCTGCTTTGTGTTAACGCTTAATGCGAACTGTTTTTGGTTTTATTTCACCCCCCGATCCTGAGATATTCATTTGTGCCTCCCCCCCCACCCACCGTGAAGAATGAGAAGACGCCCAGCTGGCTAAAACATTGCCTCCTTCACTCTCAGCGGTGGAGGGGGTGGGGGGGAGGGAAAGACAGCAAATACCACAAACAAAACCAATCTGCTATTTCTGTTTAATCAGCTCACGTAAATAGAGGCGCGCGCGCGTGTGTGGAGTGCGGCACGCGCACCTTGTTTGATTTACGCTCTTAGGCAAATGTATCGCGGGTTAAGGCGACAACTAAATGCACCGATTGACGCGAAAGTTGCCTACCCCGACGACGTCTTTACTTAACGGAGATTTATAAAGCCCCAAAATCCTTAACGCCGCGTAAATTCGTGCCAGGCGGGGAGGGTGGCGAGTAGATTCGTAAATAAGCGGACGTTTAGCGAGATACGCTGGGGATTTGCTGCTGCTGCTGCCCGTTGGTGTCGTGGGCGAGCGCACTTGGGCTCGATTCGATCTCCAGGCGCAGCAGTTGAAGGAACGGGGCAATTGATTGAACCTCGGCCGCTAGCGTAGCTCACGCCCCCTCCCTGTCTTCCTCCCGGCAGCGTATAAGTGGGTAACACCGGAGTTGACATCGACAGACGAGAATTCGCGTGTGGTCGGTGGGGTCAAATATGGGTACTCGCGCCGAGGACAAAGATGCCTGTCCGGCGTGGAAGAGTAGGCCAATATATATCAATCTGCTGGCAGGGTTGGCCACGTGCGTTTTGAAAAGAAGTTCAACATATATCTGCCAGCAGCGGCGTGAACGACATCGCTTGTGCGCGCGATCAGCAGCGCTGAGATCCATCTCCGAGCTGCCCCGCGACACCAATGTAACACTCACGTGCGTGTGTGGTCGGGAGCGGTGACACAGTGGTTAGCGCACTCCCCGCCCACAGACAACATCCGTGATCAATATCTGAGCCGTTTCTGGGCCTCCCCTAGGACGCGAGTACCTGGTGCGGCGTGTAAACATTGGCACTTGGTCAGGTCATCTCAGTTTGCAGCCCGCATGCCCACCCACAGCATGGCCAAACAGCTTCTCTGTTTGGCCAGGGAGAGGGGGGCTAAACGGGCGCGGCACGGGCTACAGAAGAGATGGAGCTGATGCGGTACGGGAGGATGGGGAGCTGAGTGGACTTGACGTTGACCTGGTATCGGCGGTGTCAAGATCGACCTCTGTAGAGGAGGCTCGTGAAGTACGCCACTGGGCAGTTGGAGGCAATCGACCTCCAACAACAACGGAGGGCGGAGGAGCGACGCTCACAACAACGAGCGGAGCGCCAAGCGGC